TGCCTAAGCACAACTTTTTCTGTTTCGTTTGCTGAGTTATGTGATTTATATGTTTAAATGGGTACTTCCATTCTCTACCCCTCCCTTTGTTTCCCTTAGATCCCTTTTTGATTTATTGGTCATGCCTATTAACACTATCATGGCATTTTCCCATATCACTGTTTTTCCTCATATGAAACTAAGTAGTTCCAATAAAATTCTTTCTGTGCAAGTGATAATAACAAATCTGTTGGCGTTATAAGATAGTCACAACAATACCACTGAGAATATGACAATCACAGGTTCGAAGCCACTAGAACTTTATCATTCAAGCCAGCACCTGGAGCTTTGTATTATCTCATGGCTTGTCATTTACTTTAGCTTTAGTGCTTAAGGAAAATAGAAATAAGACGGTTCACCAGCTTTACCTCACTCCAAAAAATGTAGCCATGGTGAATGTTAGCTGTGCCAGGCAATGTTGGTACTGTCATTTTCCAGTAACGAGTTTTATCTAGGGGTGTGCATTCATCTACCCAAGCCAAAAATATACCCAAAAATACCTTATTGATATTTTCAGGTATATTTTGGCATCCCAAAGGTATCTGGGATTTTTCAGGAAAAATGGGAGGAAATCTCAAAAAAACTAAGTTATATTCAAGAATTACTGGATAGATCTGAAAAACAGCGTGGAGGCTGGAGCAGATTGCACCCACCTCCAATGCTCCCTCTAAGCCAGGGGTGCCAAACATAAGGCCTGGGGGCCGGATCCAGCCCATCCAGGGCTTTTATGCGGCCTGTGAGCAACTGGTACAAGGGTGGGAGTACTGGGGGGAGTGGGCGGAGCCACTCCATTGTGGCTTCAGCATGGCAGAACAACTTCATCTGCACAGTCAAGCATCATGGGAACATCTGCCTATTGCTGCACTGCCTCTGCACCCCCCTCCCAGACCATGGGGCCTTGCAGTGAGGATACACCAACTCAGAGCTTACCAGCTGCTGTCCTTTATACAGCTTCTATCTCCGGTCCTTGGCAGTATGTTTTAAGGCACACATGGCCCGGCCTGACAAAGTGACATTTATGTCAGATCCAGCCCTCGTAACAAATGAATTTGACACCTCTGCTCTAAGCTGTGGAGTCTTGTGACTAAAAAAAATGTACTTTGTGAGCTACTGACATTAAAGTTGTGAGCGAACAATTTGGCTACGGCATAAATTAGTTCGCTCTAGCCATCCTTCCTGAGCTAAGAGAAAAATGTGTGAGCCAGAAGCTAAAAAACTGTGCGCTAGCTCACACTAACTCAGCTTAGAGGGTACACTGCCCACCTCTCAGCTGTTTGTCGGGCTTCTAGTGCAGTCCCTTTAAGATTTAAAGGGACTGCAGAAGACAGCACTGTGATCAGCTCTGACCAGAGGCCAGCCCAAAGCTGTGCCAGTGGGGAGCGGTCCACTCCCGGCTGGCATAGCTGATCCTCAGCCCTTGGTTAAACGGGGCTGCAGGAGAAGCCAGCCAGAGGAGTGAACCACTTCTCACTGGCACAGCTTTGGGCTGGCTTCTCCTGCAGCCCCATTTAAACAAGGGCTGAAGATCACCTATGCCAGTGGGGAGTGGACCCTACTGGTACAGCTTTGGGCTGACTAGAAGGCAGCCAGAGGGTCAGCTGTGCTGGCAGGGAGCGGACCTCTCCTCTCCAGCACAGCTTCAGGCTGTCTCCTCGTGCAGCCTCGTTTAAACAGGGCTGCAGGAGAAGCCAGCCAGAGGATCAGCTGTGCTGGTGGGGAGCAGATTGCTCCTCACCAGCAGAACTTTTGGGTTGGCTCCTCATGCAGCTTCATTTGAACAGGGCTGCAGGAGAAGCCAGTGTGGGGATCAGGTGTGCTGGTGGGGAGTGGATCGCCCCTCGTCAGCACAGCTTTGGGCTGGTTCCTCGTGCAGCCTCATTTAAATGGGGATGCAGTAAAAACCAGCCAGAGGATCAGCTATGCTGGCACGGAGCAGGTAGCTCACTGCTGGCACAGCTTTGGGCTGTCTCCTTATGAAGCCTCATTTAAATGGGACTGTAGGAGTAGCCAGTGTGAGGATCAGGTGTGCTGTTGGGGAGTGGATCGCTCCCTGCCAGCACAGCATTGGGTTGGGTCCTCATGCATCTTTGTTTAAACAGACCTACAGGATAAGCCAGCTTGGGGATCATATGGGGGGGGGAGCAGATCGCTCCTTGCCAACACAGGTTTTGACTGGCTCCTTGTGCAGCCTCTTTTCGACAGGGCTGCAGGAGAGAACATAAGAACATAAGAACATAAGAGATGCCAATGTTGGATCAGGCCAAAGGCCCATCCAGTCCAACACTCTGTATCACACAGTGGCCAGAAATACCAGTGCCATCAGGAGGTCCACCAGTAGGGCCAGGACATTAGAAGCCCTCCCACTGTTGACCCCCCCAAGCACCAAGATGACAGAGCATCACTTGCCCCAGAGTCCCTATCTATACCTTGTGGCTAATAGCCACTGATGGACCTCTGCTCCATATGCTTATCTAATTCCCTTTTGAAGCCGTCCATGCTTGTAGCACCCACCACTTCCTGTGGCAGTGAATTCCAAGTGTTAATCACTCTTTGGGTGAAGAAGGACGTCCTTTTCTCCAAGCTAAAGAGCCCTAAGCGCCTTAACCTTTCCTCATAGGGAAAGTGTTCCAACCCTTTTATCATTCGAGTTGCTCTTTTCTGCACTTTTTCCAAAGCTATAATATCCTTTTTAAGGTGTGGTGACCAGAATTGCACACAGTATTCCAGATGAGGTCGCACCATTGATTTATATAGCGGCATTATGATATTGGCTGATCTGTTTACAATACCCTTCCTAATAATCCCCAGCATAGCATTGGCCTTCTTTATTGCAGTCACACACTGTCTCGACATTTTCAGTGAGTTATCTACTACAACTCCAAGATCTCTCTCTTGATCTGTCTCTGCCAGTTCAGACCCCATCAACGTGTATTTATAGTTAGGATTTTTGGCTCCAATGTGCATCACCTTGCACTTGGCCACATTGAACCCCATTTGCCATGTTGACGCCCACTCGCCCAACTTTGACAGATCCCTTTGGAGTGCCTCACAATCCTCACTGGTTTTCACCACCCTGAACAACTTCGTATAATCCGCAAATTTAGCCACTTCATTGCTTACTCCCATCTCCAAATCATTAATGAACAAGTTAAAAAGCAGTGGACCAAGTACTGATCCCTGTGGTACCCCACTGCTTACACCCCTCCACTGGGAGAACTGCCCATTTATACTCACTCTCTGTTTTCTATTAATTAGCCAGTTTTTGATCCATAAAAGGACTTGTCCTTTTATCCCATGATTTTTGAGCTTACTTAGGAGCCTTTGATGAGGAACTTTATCAAAAGCTTTCTGGAAGTCAAGGTAAACAATATCTATTGGATCCCCCTTGTCCACATGTTTGTTCACCCCCTCAAAGAACATTAACAGGTTAGTGAGACAAGATCTTCCCTTACAGAACCCATGTTGAGTCTGCCTCAATAGGTTTTGTTCATCTATGTGCCTACTAATTCTTTCCTTAATAATGGTTTCCACCAATTTACCCGGTATCGACGTCAGACTGACTGGCCTGTAATTTCCCGGATCTCCTCTGGAACCCTTTTTAAAGATGGGAGTGACATTAGCTACCTTCCAGTCCTCAGGAATGGAGGCTGATTTTAAGGAGAGATTACATATTTTTGTCAGGAGATCCACAAGTTCACAATTGAGTTCTTTCAGAACTCTCGGATGTATACCATCTGGGCCTGGTGATTTATCAGTTTTTAAGTTGTCTATCAGTTTTAGGACCTCCTCTCTCGTCACCTCAATCTGACTCAGGTCTTTCAACACCCCTCCCGAACTCAGCGGCTCTGGAGTGGGCAAGCACCTCTCACCTTCCACAGTGAAGACGGAGGCAAAAAATGCATTTAACTTCTCAGCCATTTCCCTATCATCCTTCAGTACTCCTTTTACCCCTTGGTCATCCAAGGGCCCCACTGCCTCCCTGGCTGGTTTCCTGCTTCTAATGTATTTGAAGAAAGTTTTATTGTTGGTCTTTACATTTTTTGAGAGGCCAGCCAGAGGATCAGCTTTGCCAGTGGGGAATGAATTGCTCCTTGCCAGCACTCCCTTGGTTGGCTGGCTGCTCGTGCAGCCTGAGTCTCCAAAGTGTGCTGTCACAGACTTTGCCAGCACACTCCTAGTTTTATCCATATGTGGTGGCATTGCCCTCATGCAGTAAAGTTTTGGGAAAAGGTTCATGAGAAGGTGGAATTCGTAGGTGAAATGGTGGTGCCTTTAAGGCCAGAAGTTTTCTTGTTAAATTAGGTTGCGAGGTTCTCTAAGAGACCTAAGAAACCGCAGGTAGTTCTCTTATATTTAATTTCTGTGGCCAGAACTGTGGTACTAGAAGCAGAACATTGCTCCAAATATCCAAGAATGGACAGAGAAAATTAAGGAAATGTATGTTAATTTAAAGCTTGCTGATTTACAAGCTTACTGATTTATGGCTGCGGTCACATGGAGCATTAGCCACGCTACAGAGACGGAAGATAGGCGAATTTTCCAGGCATGATCACACCGCAACATCTGGGAAGTGTAGAGCTCCCGTGGCGAACCCGAGGCTTCCCGCCGAAGATGCGGAGTTAAAAACTAGTACCTCGGAGGTACTAGTTTCTGGAAACCGCGGGGTATTGGCTGGCATCTGATCGCGTTTCCGGTAGTGGCATCCGGTGCCTGCCCATGTCCCTTTGCAAACAGGGTTCCCCCCCCCCCAAGTCTCCACCAGATGAGCACAAGCACCCAACAGCGTATACTTTTGTGTCTTTTTTAACCTACACAAACTAGTTACCTAGTGTGATGATATGATTTTGTACAGAATTAGCAGAGAATTTCAGGCATTCTTTAGAAAGCTAAGTTGTCACTTTGTTATAGTTAAAAGGTTATTAAAAATTACTATTTTAAAAAATCTTCTCTTTTCACCATAGGCCTGTGATTGCAGTGTGGCTGGATCCCTCAGTTTACAGTGTAACCCTGATACTGGCTGCTGTTTCTGCCGCCCAGAGTTCTCTGGGGATAAATGCACTGAATGCAGGTTGGGATATCGAAACTACCCACAATGCATTGCCTGTGAATGCCTGACAGCAGGGACTGAGCAGCATACTTGCGATTCAGAAATGGAAAAATGCTCATGTGCTGATCACACAGGACAATGCACTTGTAAGGTAAGAAAAAGAAGATTGTCCTTGTTTTTGATGTTTCTTCACTGTGTGTTTTTCATGTAGCTCAAAGAGGAAACTAAAGATTAATTGGCTGTGAAGGCCAGTTTCTTTGGTCCAGTTCAGATTCTTAAAGGGTTGGGAAAGAGGACCTGTTGTGCATACTGCATCTTGTTTCTGTTGCACAGATAGCTTGCTTTTGTGATTCATTCCTTATGGTTTGATTTGAATATCACTTACATTTTAATTGATATTATTTTTTATTTATGATTAACTGCCTTATTGATCAGTTGGATCCAAAGGTGAGATAAAATAATTTAAATAAATGAAATCAGTAAATAGGTTGCATTGGCCCTGTTTATTGGGATAAGAAGGGCGATCCAGCCAACACTCAATGCCCGGTGCCTGATGCAGGACATGTGAGCAGCCCAGTGAAGGGGGATATGTGGACCTACTTCAGGCTGGAAAATGTTGTTTCAGTGGTACACGGTACAACTCAGGTGAGTACCCTGAGGCATCAGTTTGGAAGATGGAGGGGTACCCGTCAGGCAGAAGCCTGGGGCTTTGGTACGTTCATGGACCTGGGCTAGGAACCCATTGAGGAGTGCCGCTATCCTTGACCCGTAGACCTTGCAACTAGGGAGATTGGACATGGCACACCTCCCTCTTCTGCAGCCCTACAATTGCCATGAAAATAAAGTTGGCCCTTTGATTATCCCAGTATATGGTTTCGGCTCTCTTTTATTCTGCATCTGCAGACAAATGGTGGATTTGTTACCGAAGTGACATGGTAATATCAAGTGGTAAAATCATGGTCTCCTGACATGCCTTCTTTCACCCTTTAATGATTATGCAATAGCTCTGTTGTATCTCTGATGGTGTTTACTGTTCCTTTTGGGAAATACACACAGTGACCTATGAATAAATTAAAATTAGTCAGCAAGGCACAAAGCTGATTTTCATGATCACCTCATAATGTGAAGACTGCCAGCTGTACATATCCAGATTGGAACAAAATTCCCAACTTCGAGTATATACTAATGGAGTGTGAACTTGTCATAGTAGATAACTTAATTAAAGTGTCATCCCAGTGTGCTGCAGCAGTGAAAAAGGCAATGGTGATTATTAGGAAAGGGACTGAAAATAAAACAGCAAAATATAATGCCGCTGTATAGATCTGTGGTGTGACCACATTTGGAATGCTGTATGCAGTTCTGGTCACCGTATCTCAGAAAGGACATTGCGGACATGGAACAAGTACAGAAGAGGGCAACCAGGATGATCAAGAGGTTGAAGCATCTTTCCTATCTAGTAAGGCTGAAGAATCTGGGACTTTTCAGTATAGAAGGATGAGTAAAGTGAGACATGACAGAGGTTTATAAAATTATGCACCAGGTTGAGAAAGTGGACAGAGATAGCCTTTTCTCCTACTAGAACTTGAGGGCATCCAATAAAGTTGATAGGCAGTAGATTCACGATGGATAAAAGGGAATACTTCTTTAAACAACAGAGCTTAATATGTGGAATACGTGGCCAGAAGATGTAGTGATGTCCACAGGTATAGATAGTTTTAAAGGGGGATTAGGCTGATTCGCAGTCTATCAGTAGCTACAAGTCATGGAAACTAAGTGGAGAATCTCCACTTGCAGGAGCATAAGCCTTTGAATGCCAGTGCCAAGAGGCAACTTTAGGGGAAGGCCTCCCCCTCTATACCCTGTGGTTAGTGCATCTAGACTAACTGGTTGGGCACTGTCTGAGACAGCATGCCACAGTAAATGGACCATTGGTCTGATCTAGCATGGTGCTTCTTATGTTCTTATGTAGAGGTATTTTTAGTTTGGGATGCTTTGAATAACTACTGGTTTGGCTTATGACAGTACTGTCACTGGTAGTCTTAGCTATGGGGTAGCTGATGAAGCTGTCCTGGACCCCACTTGGGGTCCTCACTGGGCCCTCCTGACTACCACGCAGCTGTCCTGGTTACCACTGCCCTCTCTGCCAAACTGTGACTCCAGTGGTGACAAAAAGGGATAGAGACGGGGGCAGGGTGGGTCTCTGACCACCATACTGACATGCCTTGGCTGCCTGCCTGCCCTCTGAGTCTCAGACCTGAGCAGGAAGACAGCGCATGTGAAATGTTGCTTGCAGTTAAATGGAGAGCCCCAGATGGAAGAAGCTGTTAAGAACATAAATAAAGTGTATTGAAGGCAGTAGAAAGTGAGCCTAAGTGGGATCAGAGACAGAGGAAGGGAGCAGGCCAACCCAATGCCACTCTGACTCAGTGCCACAAAGAGAAGGGGAAGTGACTCTCTAGAGCCTATTAAAAAGCCTGGCTTAATGACAGCTAGACAAAGAAGGCAGATCTCCGAGGAAGGCAGCAGCTCTCCCAAGCACTTCTTGCAGTGGTGGGATCCTCCTCATCCAGCTTCTTCCCCTCTCCTGCTGAGTGAGAGGCCAACAGCAAGTTTTAGGGCTTTGCCTGTTAAAGTCCCCAAGCCCCTGCCCTCCCCTCGCCAGGGGTGCTGCAGTTGCAGAGCCGAATGGTCAAACATGCACAGGCTGCTGAAGTGCTGAGCAGCAGATCTGCCATCTCTTTGCAAGATGAGTGCTGCATTCTCCAACGTTGTGGCTGAAAGCAGAGCTGAGTCTCTGCACGGCAGAATTCTGTAGTCCAGTTGCTTGAGGAATAAATTCACGCTTAGCCTTGTTACTTAGAAAAGAAATAGAAGTTCTTTATTGTGAGAGAACTCTGTACTAGATAGGAAAGGCAGCCTAAAGACTTCTAGCTATCTGTATAAGCTAGGATAGAAAGAGATTGTAGAAAGCATGTCCAGCGTTCATGGGAGAGAGAGAGAGAGAGAGAGAGAGAGAGAGAGAGAGAGAGAGAGAGAGAGCGGGGGAAGAGAGAGAGAGAGAGAGAGAGAGAGAGAGGTGTGACCCAAAGGAAAGAATCTCAAGAGTAGCATTCTGAGTAACAAAGGGACAGTAACAGGAGTGGGCAAAGGAAGGATCAGTGAGCACTCTATCTACCCCTATACTCTTTACTGCCCACCCCTGAGACTCCAAAGTCTGTGCTAGCATTAAGCAACAATGCACAGTCATTTCCTTTCAACAGTGACCTTGCTGGCTGCATTTATCATGGGAAGGATGGACTGCTCTGTTGACATCTACTGCTGCTTCCTGGTGAATCTACAAGTGGTACTTTGTGCTGCTGACGTAGGTTGTGAAAGGATGCCCACCTGCCCTTTTAATGGCTTTCCCCCCCTTGGTGCCTGCTGACCTCTTATTTCTTTTTTCACTGTGAGTGACCTTGTTTCCCAGTGCAAACTAACTTGTCAATGGCCAGAACACTTCCAGCCCTTTATCCTTGGGGGAAAAAAAGAACCATGGGATTTTGGTGAGAGGGAAGGATGATTGCATTCTCCCTTAGCCCCAGATAAGTCCTGCTAGCAGCCAGTAGTTGCTATTGTTAATTAGGGCTTCTGAATGCTCTTGGCTTTCACCATCTTTATTATTGTCCAGAGTGGGCTGCAAGGAAATAAAAGGAGTTTGCTTGGCCCCCATCCTTGACATTTGTCAATAGCCCCAGATTCACTAGCCTACTCCTAAGAAGAGTATAGTGCAATCAGTGCCATTTCATGCAAGCATTCATATTTCCATATAGCCCAGTAGGACTTGTCACTTCACCCTCTCCCCCGTGTCATTTAATTACCTGACCCAAAGCATCTATGATAGTGAAGGAGAGTCAGTTTCACCTACTGTGCAGATGTGAAAGTGACTGCAAGGCAGAAGGGAATGAAATTCCACTACCACAGCTACTGTGCAGCCATGAATCTGTTCAACAGCTGCTCAAGTCACAGAGGAATGAGGCAAAAGATCTGAGGCTTGGCTCACAAGTGGTCTCAACTGTCAAGAATGGTGTGTTCACCTGCTAAAAGTATTCACTGCAAAGTTTTTAGCATTTCTACTTTTAGGCAACACTACCTTGCAACAAAGACCTTGACTTTTAGCATGCTCCGAATTGCTAGAAGTTTGCGGCCCCAGTGCCAAGGGGAGGGGTGAGGCCAGGGCCAAAGGCAAGAGGCCCTTCATATACAACCACATGTTAATCCCATTTACACCGTAGTTGAAATAATACACCCACACTCAAAGTTTCAGAAAAATGTGGAATAAAATTGGCCACAACTTTATTGGTTACAGCTGTAGTCTGCTTTGGCACAGCATGGGGTACCGGTTCCAGTTCATTGACTGCCAGTCGATGATCCACTGGTAATCTTGGGAAGACAGGTCTCTGGATCCCACAAGGGTGGACACCCCAAGGTGGTCTCCCCTGCCACCTGAGCATGAGGGTAATCCCTGGCCATGCCCCAGGGCTGGGCATACCACTTAACCCTCGCATCAAGATCCCTTACGAGGATCCCCACTTCAGGAAAATGGGCACACAGGCCGACTTTCCTGAAAATAGAACCGGCGCTATGCTGATACCGCCAAGTTGTGACAAGGAAAATTAATGAAACAAGCCCACATGCAAACCAAACGATGCCATACTAAAGGGCTGGGAGGGTGGGCCAAGTCGCTCAATGCCAAAAAGATGGTGAGGGGGCAATGCTGTGCCTTTAGTAACAACCAGTGCACCCCCACCCCCCAACACCCAAGACCCTCTGATAGGGCCAGCGCTGGGTCAGGTGGGCGCAAGCTTCCCACGCCTGCTGCTGGCCCACCCCGTCCCCCCAGCGAGGATTGCCTCTCTACCCTTCCCTCCCCCCTCCCCGTGGTGCGGCAAACAAGGCTCCGGGAGATTTCAGGGTCCCGGCTTCTCAGACAGCAGCATGATACAAGTTAATTTCTGGTGGATTATATCACCACTGACAGAAAACTTTTAAATGTTATTCTTCAGTATTTCCAGCCTGTATTAAAATACTTCTGAATACATGTACCTTTATTCTTGAGGAGCAATTTAACTAGGAGCACTTACCTAGTTTTAGCTTCATTGGTTTTTATGTAAC